GGGGGGGGGGGAAGCTGAGGACCAGAGAGGGGAAGGAAGTGGACTAAGGTCACACAGCCAGTGTATAACCAGTGGCAGGAGAGAACCTCAGAGCCCATGACGCCTGGCTGCCCCTTCAGGGGCCAAATGAGGCAGCAGAGATGGCACTCAGCTCCCAGGCTGACATGGAGTCTGTGGAAGACCTCAAACGTCCTGTAAGGCTTCTTCTTGCAGATGCCCAACCAGATCCTCGTCAGTGCAATATCATTACCAGGTTCTTGCACACCTCCAGAGATAGGGGTCTCACCACTGCAAGGCAGCTACTCTATCCTGACACCCTGGAGAGTGTGCATGTGTGTGGGAGGTGGAGGGGAGGAAAGGTTGCCGCCCTTCCCGGGGGGATCCACCTTGCTCCAGCTTGCCCACGCAGGCTGGGAGTGGGGCAGAGGTAACCCCATATCCTGCTTTCCTGCCAGGGAACTTCCCTCCAGGGACACCCCCAGGGCCTGTGTGATGGGGTGAGAAGTGCTACTGAGAAGAAACCTGTTCGCGGAATCCTCCTCCAGGCTGGAATCTCCCTGGAGAGCTGCCTGCCCGTGGGCTGGGAAGTCAGTTCCACTCTTGATGCTGCTACTCTAGAGGATCTCAGGATGCTGGGACCCTGCTCACCACCACGGGAGCCCTGGTCAGTGGTCCAGCAGGGAAACTGTGGCTGAGACTCTGCTACAAGCTTCTGCGTCACTCACTGGCATGGCCGCTGCCTCCAGGTAACCACAGGTAACCCTCTTGGTAACCACAGCTCACGAAGCTCTCTTCTTGACTTCTTGATTGTACCGCCAGTTCCGCCTGAGTACATCTGTCTGCGATGCTGTCTGCCATTTTCTTGAGGAGTCCCACCCGCCCCTTCTCTAAGATGGACATCCTTGAGGATGGAGCCCACTCTGCTCTCTGCCTCCCAGCAGGCTTCAGTCCAGAGCCCCCTCCAGCTCTGGTGCAGACATCTCCAGCCAGAAGCTCCTTGGGAGACCCAGTCCAATCCTGTCCTTCTACCGAGAGGGAGCAGTCGCAGAGGAGGGAGGTGGCCAGCTCACGCCCTGCTGGGACCTACCTAGGGCCATTGCTGGCCGGTTGGAGGTTGCGGTGGGGGCGGCGCACAGAGCCAGAAGGGTCAAGACATTTCTCTCCAAACACCGTACTTTTCCAGGAACCAGAGAAGGAGGGTGACTTGGACGAGGGCACACAACAAGTTGGAGACAGAGCTGGGACTGAGACCGTGGCATCGGGGCTTCTAGTCCAGTGCTCTCGGGTCTCCCAGAGGTCTTGTCGGTGGGTCTGAGATGTATATGGGTGTCCCTTGGGCAGGGAAGGCCAAGCCCCAGATGAGGATGGGGGAGGGGCTGGCCGAGAAACCCCCTGAGCAGAAGGAGCGGGCATCACCATGGTGGAGGGTAGGAAGCATGCAGGCCCCTCCCGCTCCGAGGGCTGACAGCATTTCAGAGGGCAAGGAGACGTGTGACAGGAGAGGAAACTGAGCCCCAGAGAGAGGGCGGGGTGCCAGGTTCTGGGCTGCTTTCCTCACCCCTTACTGCGGTGGCCTTGGGGCTGGGGCAGGGCCTTTCCTGGGTGTCCAGGGCCAGCGGCCTCATGGTTCCCACCCACCCTCTTTCTTGAGCCCTTCCTCCCCTCTGCTGCCAGCTTGAAGTGAAGGGGGTTGAGGGAGGATGTCTGCGGGCCAGGAAAGGGTACCCTGGGGTGGGAGGTAGGTCTCCAGGTACCACGGGTCACGGGGTTCCCGGGAAGCTGGGCGCCACCTCCCGGGAAGCTCGCTGCTTGCTGGCAATCTTTTTCCGAGCAGAGACCAGGTCATAGAAGGGGACACGGGTGATGCTGGCTCTGGAGAGAGAGTAGGTGAAAAGATTTCAGGGCTGGGCAGGCTGACTTAAAGAGTCTCATATCCCAGGGAGGGGTCGGCCTGCCCTGACTCAGGGGAAAAGCCAGATGACCCCAGCAAGGACCAAGCCAGGCTGTGTCCAGCTTTGCTGGCCTAACCCAGAGTCCCACGGGCGGGGCCGGAGGGGGTGAGGCTGAGGCCTGAGAGCCTTGGGAATTCTGCCCCCAAATGTCTTTGGACCCCTCCCCAGGCTCCCATCAGACTCTCAGAAGGAGGTGACAAGAGCCCAGGTGGAACCAGCAGAACTGCTTGCCGGTCACGGCTCTGCCCCTCACTGGCTGTGTGGCCCTGGGCAAGTCCCTCCCCTCTCTGGGCCTCAGTCCTCATGTGTAAAATGGAGGTGAGCGTGGCTTTGGCCTGACGTGCCCTCTTGTTTTTGTCTGCACTGCCTGTTCCACCTAGAAAGGCCTCCTCTCCACCTCCATCAGGTCTTTCCAGGGCCACTACGGGTCCTGATGCTGGCGCTGAGCAAAGAGCTTTACAGGCAACATCTCCCGTGATCCTCCACCATCCCTATGAAGGCGGTGCCTCTCTCCCCCGTGTCCTGGACCTGGCACTGTAAAGGCCCAGAGGGGATGTTCACGGAATATGTGTGGAAGGGATTTGCATGCCAGAAACAGGAGGGAGATTCTAGAGTTAGCTCTCTTTACAGACAAGGAACCAGGGCTCCAAGAGAAGCAGGCGCTTCTGGAAGGTGGCAGGAGACACCTCCCCACCAGTCCGCCCACCCATTACCGAATGGCCTTGATCCACTGGTCCCGCTCCTCAACGCTGGAGGCTGAGATCCGGTAGGACTCGTGCTTGCCCTCTACCACCTTGCCGTCGCCATCTGTCTTGCAGGCCTTTATCTTCTGGCCCCGGCAGCTGGGGTTGTAGAGCTCCAGGCAGAACTGTGGGGAAGTGGCCAGGTGAAGGCAGGGCAGGGGTGGGAGGAAATGGCTGCTACACTGGGCTCTCCGGGAGGCTCAGAGAGGCCTAGACTCTTGGGCAAGACCAGCGCTTGGATGAACGGCAGGACAGACCCGACCCCCGGGCCTTCCTGTGAGAGGCAAAGGGGCAGAAGCTGCAGCTCCTCACGTTGAGAACTTATTACGTGCCTGGCTCGACCTAAATCCATGATTCTTCTTAAAATCCCCATTTGACAGATGGGGAAACTGAGGCTCAGAAATGAGCAGAGACTTACTGAACGTCCCCGAGCCAGTGTCAGGCACAGGCTCTGAGAGTCAGTGAGGCCGGGTTCTCTTGATGCCGTTGACCTGCCCCCAGGATCCACGGCCCCAGGAGGGAGACTGAAGCAACCCTGAGCCACCCGTAAGGTGTGATGGGCACCCCCCTTTTCCCACCGTGTTTTGCAAATTCCCGCAGCCTCTCCCGCAGGCTCTCGGGCCTCCATACGGATACCTACTGGCTTCTTGGGGTCATCCACCTTCTGCACTGAGAGGTTCTCAAGGGGTATGATTCCCCGGGGCTCCTTGTCCTGCAGGGGAACGGGAGACAAGGTCAGGATCTGCAAATGGAGCTTCAAAGCCAAGGGCAGGGAGTGACCTTGGGGTCTCCCTAGACCCAGAGAGGAGTGTGCCATCTCCCCCGACTCTGTGCAGCCCTGGAGAGGGCACGGGAGCAGCACGGAAAGAGCTGGGAGTCAGGAGGCCTGACTTTAAACCCTGGTTCTGCCTTGCGCCTTGGCCCAGCCCCTTCCCTTCTTTGTGGCTCAGTTTTCCCCATCTGTAAAATGGGTACGGAGGAGGTCCGAAAGATCTCAAGGGGCCCCAAGCTCTGTCCATGGACCACTTAGTGGGAGTCTGGAAAGGGTTTGGGGGGAGGGGCAGGGCAGGGTAAGGCTCACAGTGGTGAACTCGAAGTAATAGAGGCAGCCGTCCGTCAGGATGAACCAGCGTCGTTTCCACGTCTTCACGCGGCCGCCTGCGAAAGCCAATGGCGGAGTCAGTCAGCCCTCGTCCGCCCTGGGCCACCAGCACTTCCCTCCACGGAAGAGCAGGACCTCAGACGCTCTCCTCTGGGCCCCCACCTGAGCAGCAAGCCCCCAACCCCTTGCCTGCCGCACCTTCCCCCTTATCTATCCCTTTCCGACTTAAAACCTGAGTGGCTCTATCACCCCCGCACTGCCCCTGAGTTGCCTGACCCAGGCTCCTCCATGATCAGGCCCTGGGGCAGGCTGGTCATTCCCTGCACTTTCCTGCTGCCCTCACCCCTCCGTTCATGCCTTGGCCCCGCTCCCTGCTTGGCACTATGCTAAGCCTTTCATCTTTCATTTGCCAGGCAATGTTCTAGAGATTTCAAAAAACTTTCACTTACTAATCCGTATAACCACCTAGGAGGAGGGGACCATTATTAACCCCATTTTACAGATGAGGAGACCGAGGTGCAGAGAGACTAAGTCATCTGCTCGAGGTCTGGCTGCAGAGCTGGGATTTGAACCCCAGTGTCCCAGCCCCAGAGCCCAAGTGCTTGGCTTCCCACACATTTAACTGTCCCAGGGATGATTATCCCCATTTTGCAGCTGTGGAAACTCAGGCTGAGGATGGGTGGAGGAGCTGGGATTTGTGACTTAGAGCTTCCCCGGGACTGAGGACAGTCAGCTGGGCAAGGAAGGAGGCTGCAGTCTGCAGGGGGGTAAGCTGGGAGGGTGGGTCTGGAGAGATGGAGGGCTTGGATGGGCACCCCGGGCCAGGACCCCTGCTCCAACACGAGGCATCTGTCCTCCCCTGCCCTGGAAGACCACTGTGCCTGGCTGGGCTGACCCTGCTGGGGCGGCGCCCAGGAGTGTGTGGGGGTGGCAGGAGCATACGGCCGGGCCCTGCGGTTCCCCTGCCAGATCCTCCAGCCGCTGCAGCTGTGGCACCCGCCACAGCTCCCCTCTGCAGGCCCGAGGCCCTCCGTGTCCCCTAGTCCCATTGAGGGGAGGCTCCCTGAGCCACATCCTGTCACACTCCCTCCCTCTGTCTTTCAAGGACACCCAACCCTCTGCCCACCAAAATCCACCACTGGCTAGGTGTGTGGCCCCGGGCAGATGCCCTAACCTCACTGGGTCTGGGCTAACTTAGAATCGCTTCAGGAAGGACCTGCGGTTGAACCGTTTATCTACGAATCAGTCAGCTTCCCGTCCCCACTTCCTGCTTATCGTTCCCCTCCCGCACTGTCCCCTTATCCCCAGGACAGACAGTTGGATGGATGGGACGGGCAGACTGCTGCTCCAGGGGTCAGGAGACCTGGGGCTGACCTGACTGCACCCCCGAGGCTGCATGTCAAGTGCATGTGTGTGGCAGCCGCACTGCGTGAGCGTGCAGGCACGTCGGTGCGTGCCCCCCGGCGTGCATGAGCACGTTCTCACCCAGCTTGAGCAGCCAGCCCTCACGGTCGGGATTGAAGAACGTGTGAGTGAGGTCGTTGCCATCGTCCTCGGGGATGGAGAAGGGCTCACTCTTGATGCTGTCGAAGAGGTTCTGCCCCAGAGAAGGGAGGGAAAGACCCGCTGTGACATTCATCCCAGTCCAGGGCCTGGGTTCAGCCTGTGTGACCTCGGGCAGGTCACTGGCCCTCTGGGCAAACTCTTTC